CTGGGACCGCATGATCCAGCGGTTTTCCGTCAGGGATGGATGCGCCCGGCGCCGTGCCGCACGCGCCGTCGCGTGCGTTCCGCGGACGTTCTTCTTGCGTAAAACGACCGCCCTGTCAGATCTGACCTTGATGTTCAATTTCTACTCCGACATATCATGTCACGTTCGCGCTCGAACTCGATCGGGTCGAGAAAGTCTGCTCTCTTGTTTCTTTTTTTTTTCTCCTTTCTTACGCGCGGCAATTCGGGAAAGGAGGCACGCGGATCGTCGGAGGAAGTGCGTGCACCTGTCGGAGCACGTAAAAGACTTTTGCGGCCCTGCAGCCGACGGAACCGGAGAAACTTTGCGTACCGCAAGTGAGCAGGTTTCCGACCCACGAACGACCTTCCGCGATACTCGACGGATGAGTAGAGAGCTACGAGTGCATCGCTCGCTCGAGCGATGCGTTCGGGACGAACCTGATTCGAAAGTGAAATTCGTCCTGACTCGGTGATCAGCGATGCGCCCTATCTAGGTGAAATCTGCATGTATCTTTTTCCGACCGGCTCGTGGTGCACTCGTACTTTTCGCATTCGTCAATTAAAATATTCTACTCGGACACGAAACTCGTTTCTAGATAAATCTGAACTTTGAATAAAATTTTTTTACCAGGTACACGGAAACATACTTCTTTGTCTCTTATATAATTTTTTCTTTTTAAAATTAATTTGTCCTGTTTTTCTGAATGCAAATGTGTTAAAACAAGTTTGTTTGAAAAGTGCAAATATTTTACGATACATTTTATATTTTGTTAAAATGTGTGTCGGAACATTTAATTAATTTAATTTAATTAATTCAATTTCTTCTTTGCCCTTGGACTATCTTTTCTTTCAATTCGTTTAAGTTCAGAATTACAATTAATATTTTCATTTATAGAAAAACTGTCTATTGTTTAATATTTTTTACAATCGATTTTTTATAATCGAAAAATTGTTTGCGAGCCCAAAATTTAGTGTTACTTTTAAAAATATATCACTGGAAAAATTTTGAAAATCGGAATTTTCCTACAAGAGAAAGGCGACTTCGCAAATACGCACTTGGAACAAATAGATAAATCACTCAGACAACTTTGCAACAATATTGCTAGATGGCAGCATGATGATATTTCTAATCAACAAAAGATGTTTTTTGCGATAAAATAAAACGATAAAAAATGCTCAGAGTGAAACGGAAGAAAAATGCAATTTTATGAAAGATAAAAACTTGGATGCATAAAAGAAGAATATCACTTTATTTTATAAGCCATCATGCACTGTAAGGCATAAAAGTGCTTCTTTTTTTATAATTGTAATATATAAAAAACATTCCTCTATTGTAAACTCTGCGCTTTCATCCATAGATAATTCTAATTATGAATGGCCGCTCGTATAAAACGCATGAATATATCTGCAACAGAAACGGCATTAGGAATGAAAGAGACGTGCGCAGATAATGATTGCTTACGACATTGATCATTGGGCGTGTAATTTCACCCAGATAACGCTTCGCTGATCACAGATCCGAAACAGATTTCACTTTCCATGCGGGAATCAGATACGTCTCGCGCGGGTAAGTATCTTGCGATTACGCGAAAGTGCTCGATTTATGTCATATTTTGCGGATAAGTCTCGCCTAACGATCGCAATGTATTATCGGTGGAACGAACGGTGGCAAGGCCAAGGTCAATTGAGATCACCCGCGAGATGCATCTCGAAGTGGACCAGGCTACTTTTAATCGGACTGTTCCAATTGCGTTATGTATTCGATTCGGAGAAACGCCCGGGCCCGCGTCTACTCGACATGTGAAATTTATTCGGTATTCATTATGCGCGGCTGATTAATACGAATACATCGATGTTTGGCCAAATTTATGGATTCATTAATGCGATGTAAATCTTGCCGAAGTCCCCGGGCGCGAAATGGCGCGGCCTGTCAGCGACGCTGGTTCCTCTCGTTTTATGAACTACGTGGAATTTTAATCGCAAGGGATCTCGTCACGCCTGCTGCATTCATCGATTAATTTACAATTCAACTCTATTCCCATCGTTGTCGCTGATTTATGGTCTGTTAGTCTAGCGCGATACCGAGCGGTGGGGGATGAAGGTGACGTTGAGGATCTTATCGGAGGACTATCGGGGACTTTAATGAGGAGAGATTCCGCGTGGCTCATTATTCGGCACCAGTCGGGCCGTATTCTCTGTCTTGATACGAGTCCAGTCTTGATACGAGTACGATATAATTTAGATGTCACCTGGAAAAATCGGGACGTGGAAAAATCGGATTTTTCCTTCGCCTGACGGACGTCTAACGGATACTACGAACGTGTTTCGCGATCGCGCGCGATTTATACCTGCTCGCTCATACTTGCACAAGCACTTTCACTCTCCGGACGGATCTTGCAAATCCGTTAACCGGAGCTTTTCCTCAAGTTTAACTCGCCTCATTATATGCTAATGCGACCGGGCCTGTGAGAACACGCTCGAGGCCTCTGCCGACTCGCTGCGGGCGAAAGGCACGAAAGCGATTTTAATGTCCTTCCCCTCTCGATGAGAGGAAGGAAGAGAGAAATGCCGGAACTTTTGTAATTAAGGTCGTGGTAATGAGGAAGGCAGGATCATCTGCGGGAATCGTACGCATCTTCGGCCGATTTCAACATTGTCTCGCGCGGCGTCTTACTTTTACTTTTTATTGGACGGCCGCACTTTCGCTGCGGGATGAGTAGCAAAATTTTGGCGAAAAGCACAGACAATGGTCTCGCGCTAAGCGCATTTCTTCTTAACCGTAAATTCGTCGGATGATTTGTAAGTTTTACCCCATCGAAAATATCGAAAGTGCTCATTATTTATCGCAACTCCGAGTTTCAGTATTACATATATTTTTGTAATTAGATTTCTTAAATTAGATTAGATTTCTTAAATTGAAATTTTATCAGCAAAATTAACTAGCAAAAATAACCGTGGTATATTATTTTTTTATATTCGTTTCCTTGGATTTTTAAATAATTTTAATTTTTCCAACGAGCACTTTATTTTATTTTATGACACTTATACTTATACGATTATATAAATAACTAAGAGCATTAGAAATTTGAAAGAGCTATCGCGGTTGGTTTTGCAATGATTTCGGGCGATTTGCAAAATCATAGGAGCCGAAAGATGAAAGTGTGGCCGATTGATCGATTACTCTCGGGTCTGAAACGAAAGTACTTTTCGCGTCTCTCGATACCCCTTCGGGTTCGTATATACGTCCTCATTAAACTGCCATGGGAGATTTAGCATCCATGTACCACTTCCGGTTGGTGTCTTCCCTTCCATCGATTACAGGCTTCTTTTTTGCAGCCTCACGTATCTCGCCCCCATGGCACGTTGTTGCGGCACGATCGCGGAGAAAGTAAAGGTCGTGAGTTCGTCTCGCGACCCTGAAGACCCTGAGAGAGACATGCCTGCTCACTCGATTCTCGTCTTATCCTTAGAAAGCATCGTGCCTCCCCTCGCTCTTCCGCCTCGTCATTCTTCTGACTCCCTTCCACGTTGTTGCTTAGCGCATCTTCGTATGAAAGCCATCGTACTTTCATACATTAATGTGAATTAATGACTGCACGCACCAGCGACTAGCGGACAATATCTGAATAAATGTTTCCGGAAGACACGGAGTAGGCAATTTCAAATGCAATGCACGATTACCACAATCGATGATCTTTAACAGAGAATTACGATTACTTTTAAAACTCTCATCTGTCAAAGGCAATTTTTCCTCTGGGAGATTATGCTTTATATAAAATTTAATACAAAGTTTACTAAAAGATATTAGTTACTTTTATTTATTCCTGGATATATAAATCCCGTCTCTTTCATATTTTGAAGAAAAATTTGTTATTGAAATATAACTTTCTTTTGGATAAATTTAATTTAATCGTGTCGAACTTATTACTTTATTTTAATAATTATACAATTGGAAAAATTTGAGTATACTTTCGATTAATACAATTTAAAAACAATTAATATATACATTTATTATGTTAATTAAAATTATTTTTATAATAAAAAAAAATCTTAATTTTTTTAAAATGACATTAAATACAAATATATTTTTCAATTCTTTAACCACAAAATTTACATATTTGCATAATGTTTTTATAAATCTTTTATCTTTGAAAATGCTAAAAAGAAAATAATTATTTAAAATGAAGGAAATTAAATTAATCCGTGACATAGTACAAAATAATATTTATTAACGTATAAAAAATATTAACATGCACGCATCCCAATAATTAAACGATATTTACAAAGTAAGATATTAATTACACATGGTATTAATACGTGGCCATTCTATGATTATGAATAATCCATACACTTGAAAAAGAGATAAACAAAGAGGAAATATTATTTTTCTTATACATGTAACTTTCATTCTGAGATTCAATCCGAAAGTGTATGTATAAAGATAAAACAATTTATTATAAATGATGTAGTCATATTAAACAATTTTAATGATTTGCTTTGGAATCTAATTTATCAAAGCGTCTAATTCATAAAAAAGTGCATCGATATTATTTTAATCGATAAAAATCAGTTATTGATATACATTTTGTTCTTTCGGGAAAATATAATGTAGGCAGTGAGTATCTTTACGTCTCTGTCGCGATGATATCTCGATGATAGATTATTGCATCTCTTTATGTAATATTTTACATATCGAAAAATCGAGTGACACGCAAGTCAGTCGCGTTGGCATCGAGATGATCAATTGAAAATTTTCATCATCCACTTTCGTGCATATCTTATGGTTGCGATGCTTTCTAACTGTTAGTTGCAGGCTTTTCTCTTCTTCGGTACGCGTCTACTAGTCGGCCTTCCCTTTTCTCTTCTCGAGATATACCTATATCTACCAACGAGTAATCCATTATCACAAGGCAGTATAAGATTCGACCGACTTTCTTTTCTAACGCAATCCATTCCCCCAGACAATTTTCCGAGCCGACCTTTCGATTCTCGGATGTCACGAGATACATGCGCAGAAGAAAGATCGAATCGGCCGAACGTGACCCTCGAGGACGATCTACTTGTAACCGTGATGACCGTCGTCGTGATGAGACTCGATGGGGACCCAAACTTTCTCCCAGACGGGCTTCCAGATCTTCTTCCAAGCCGGTACCTGCACGTCCTTCCAAACCGGAACCCACTTGCTCTTCCATTCGTCTTTCCACACCTGTTTCTTCTGCGTGATCCAGATCTGCTTCTTCTGTGGTACCCATACTTGCACCGATTCCTCCTGCCAGACCAGCTTCTTGTCCGTCACCCAGATCTGCTTCTTCTCCGTTTTCCAGATTTGTTTCCATTCGGCCTTCCATTCTAATTTCTTGTCGCTCACCCAAATCTGCTTCTTTTCCGTTCTCCAAATCTTCTTCCAAACTGGCTTCCATATCAGCTTCTTCTTCCAAAGATCATGGCTGGTATACTGCCAGCCATGATGATCCTTGCCCACGTACTGCTCTCCCGGTATGCCGATTTTAATCCATTCCGGCACCCAGATTTTCTTCCAATCGGGCACTTGAATTTCTTTCCACACGGGGACTTGGATTTCTTTCCAAACAGGCTTCCAGACCTTCTTCCAAGCTGGCACCTGAATTTCCTTCCAAACTGGTACTTGAATCTGCTTCCAAACGGGCTTTTGGACCTTCTTCCAGACGGGTACTTTGATCTCTTTCCACGCGGGCACTTGAATCTCTTTCCAAACCGGCACCTGTATCTTCTTCCACTCTTGTTTCCAGATCAACTTGGACTCTGTTTTCCAAATCTGCTTCCATTCAGGTTTCCATACCAACTTCTTTTTCCATATGCCCTTCGGTCCGTGATCCGGAGGTGGACCATAGGAATCGGAAAGTCCAAAACCACCGCCACCATGACCGCCGCCGCCACCATAACCGCCGCCGCCGCCGCCACCGTAGCCGCCGCCGC